CCTTCTGCCCAATTTTTTTTTCCCCTTTTTTTTTTTCAGTTCTCTGCATGTGTGTGCGGCTGCTGCTTCCCTTTTCTGCCTGCCTTTTGGGGTTACATAAAAGCCAGTCTCTTTCTGGCCATTACAGCTACATGGGGGAGTAGTTACTGCTGAGAGAAGCTTGAAATTTGAAGCGGAGTTGTCACAGACATTAGAAAGAACAGTCAGGCTGCGTTGGCAAGCTCCTGAGTTAAGTCTCATTTCATACTGATGGGAATTTCAGATCTGATTATCTCCTTCCTCCCTCATTCCCAAACCTGCTGCTGCGGCTAATCCGCCCATGGGTGCTCCTGGAGGCTGCTCTCCCAGGCGCCTCGCCGCAGGCCGGATCTGCTTCGCTCCATGGCTCGTTCGCCTCCGGCCGGAGGGTTTTGTGACCACCAGCAAGGGCAGCGCAATGGGTCACAGCGACCCACATGGAGATGAAGCCTCATTCCCCCCAAAACGTGCTGTGCCCTCCCTCGGAGCGTTGTGCTGCCCCGCACGTCACGACAGATGATACCGCTGCTGCGGCGCAGGTTGGTTTGCAGCGGGGCCCTGCTCTAGGAGGTCGCGTGTCCCATGGAGAGGGAATTAGGAGGCGCCGCTCGGGAAGCAGCGGCGAGGGGAGCCTGGCCGGGTGGCCCTTTGTGTGCGTCGCCTCGCGGCCCTGCCCGCCGTCCCTGCTGCACTGCGTGGAGCGGGCTCTCTGCCCTCCTCCCGCGCTGCTGCTGCTCTCTGCGCTGCTCCCAGCCCACCCGTGAAGGAGCATTTGGTCCGAGTTGCTGTTTTCAGCCGACAGAGCTTGTGTCGCAAAGCAAATAGTCCTAGAGCGTGCCCGCCTTGCACGTGACCACTCGCCATCAAAGTCTGTCTCCTTTCTTGCCTGTAACAGTTGTCCAGTTTCTCTGTGCCAGCCCTATTTATTAAAAATAGTCAATAAGACGCCGCCTTGTTCGAGGGGGCTGCAGCCTGGCGGTTCTTGTTTGAAGCAAAGCAATTGCGCTCAATTCCGGCCCAGGACATGGTTCCTGTGCGATCCCCTCAACAGAGCTCGAGTGGAAAGGCTCAAGGGAAGGCCCACAACGCAGACCTTGGTAGCATCGAGCTCCTCTTGAATTGAGTCGGTGTCTTCCCAAAGTGGTGGGTTAGGAAAAGCAGGAACCACGACTGCCTCTTGCTCCCACCAGCCTGCGTTGCGCTGCGTTCAGCCCTTAGCACCCCGGGAGGATTTCCAAAAATAATCCTGCTGGAGTCAGAATCCTCTTAAAAACCGGCGAGAAAGACATTCAAGGTGAGAACTTGTTGTGCAGGGAGGAGGGTGGCGGATCGGCAGCCTTGGGAAGAGAGGCTAGGCGCAAATCCTGTTTTCCTGGGGAAACGCGAGGAGCTGGAGACCGCTGTGTGTGAAGCAAAGGAGTTGAACCCAAGGACAACATGGAGCAAAACCCAAATCCCCACTGAGTGCTGGGCAGGAGCTGGAAGCTCGGGAAGAATCCAGGGGCGGTGATGGAAGCTCCTGGTGCCTTTGGGTGCTCACAACGTTCTCACGGAGCGGTGCGGGGCCCCGGCATGGCCGGCAGCCCTTCGGGAGAGGGGAAGCGGCGGAATGTTGGCAAGGCGCAGCCGGAGGTGGGGCGGCTCCGAGGTGCGCGGGGCCGCGCTGCCCTTTCCCAATGCTTTGCCTTTTAGTCACCGCCGTCGGAACAGGGCTGGGAGCTGCCGTTCAAGCCGTGACTTGGAGGCCTCGGAAGCAAAACTTGCCGCGAGCAGGTAGGGAAGCTCTGAATCAAGCAAGAGAGAGCGAGAAGATCATTCGTTCCCATAAGAAAAGCCTTCGCTTCCTCTTTCTTGAGGTGTGAAGCGCTTGGGAAGAGGAGGGTTTTGAGCAGGAATTGGTGCAGCGGCGGCTGCGGCCTCGGGCAGCGGTGTCGCATTTCCTGCAGCTGCAACGAGACAAGGTGGGCTCCCTCCTTCCCGCAAGGAGCGACGCGTTCCCGTGTGCTTTGCTCTTCCCCCGGTACCCAACAGGAACCTGCCACATATTTGTTCCACTTTCTGTGTCTTACAACCTCCTGGTTCCCCTCTCAGGCGCTGCTGCTGCCCCGTGCGGTTCCCCAGTGCCGCACGCACCCCAAATTCAGCCTCCCAGCAAATGGAGTCCTCAGCGCTAGGAAACGAGTAGACATCCTCACGTTTGCCAAGAAGATGAGATTTCTTGGCCTCGCTCTTCACGTTACTGCATTTTCACGGGGCGGATGGAGCTGCAGTGGCTCCGTGAGGCTGCCCGGTGCCCGGGGGGGCTTGGCAGGCTGGGAGATTGCTGCCTTGTCAGCCCCTGACAAAAGCCAAGTGCTGCCGTCCAGCCCTTCCTCGGTGGGGACGTGTTGTCCATCAGTTGGTCTTAATGACCCTTTTAAAGAGCAAGGGCCCTTCCTAGTTTCCTTTGCAGTTTCTGCCACCCCGAGCGCCTGCTTGGTGCTCAGCAGCATTCGCTTCCTCTTGGCTCTTGGGCCTTGTCTCTGCTCTGGGTTTTCTTTCGAAACACGCACTTATTTTCCAGCCTGGCCTCATGGTGTTTGTCCCCTTGGAGGTTTGAAAGGAGCCCGGGAGCTGCTGTCCCTGTCCCCTGAGGCAGCCGTGGGCAGCAGGGAAGCGTTTCCCTGCCTGCTCCGTGCCCAGCCCTGCGCTCTGCTGCAGGTCCCTGCGTCGCCCTCCGCCTGCTCCCAGCCCCTTAGGGTGTCCCGTGTTCCCGGGCGAGGAGGAGCGCAGTGAGGGGCACGCGGACGAAGCTCCGGTCCCGCAGCAGCACCGCGCGGGGCGGCTCCCGGCAGGAGCCCCAGGAGAAAAGCAGCGGTTTCTCCTTCTCCTCTGCTGCCTGCCTCGCGCCAGCGCAAATCCCCGCGGTCGATGTGCTTTGCTCTTGTAAAAGGAGCCACTTTCGCCACCGCTTCTGGTCTGAGGACGTGCTCGGAAGGCAAACGCTGGCGACAGGGAGGTGGCAGCGCCCAGGCAGCTGCCCTGCCCCTCTCCCCGGACCTCTGAGGATTTGGTACCCGCCTTTCTCACCCCGATGCAGCCTGGCGTAGCTGCTGCCTGGTTTCGGGGCTTGTTTTTCCCCCCATTTGCCGTGTGGCCGCTCTCCCCCCTTGCAGACACGTTGGTGTTTGCTCCTGCCCGTGTGCCGCCGCTGCCTGGCGCCTTGGAAGGCTTCCAGCCACGCGGGGCGGCTGGGCTCTGCGAGCCCGGCCGGGCCCTGGGGACGCTCCGGGGGGAAGCTCCGTGCCCGCAGCCTGCAAACGCCGCCTTGTTTACGGGAGCTGCAGCCCGGCGGGAGCCGGGAAGGGCTGCCTTGCAGAAAGCCACCAAATAGCACCGGGGCTCGGCTGCAATCCGTGAAACAGGGGGCATCTCCAAGCAAGGGGCAGGGTCCTTCCTTCGCTCACCGATTTCAGTCTCCCTGCGGTTGCTGGTGGCTGCTGGGGTACAGTGGAGCCCAGAGTGCTCTTCATCCCTTGGCCAAGCTCCTCACCTCCCTCTTCAGCCCCTCATCCTCTTGCTCGCCTCCATGGGAAGGTGCGGACCCCTTTCCTAGTGCAGGGACAAGCCCCGAAGCGCCTCGTTTGGGGCCGCCCCAAACCAGCCCCGCGCATCTGCTTGGCAGGGGTCTGCAGCCCCTCCGCCTTAATGGGTCAAATTTAGCAATTCAAAAATCTGCCTTCGGAGGTAATTAGGAGGGATAAATGCCCACTTCTTCCTCTTAACACCCTGCTGGAAAAGCATCCAGGAAGGACTCCTGGACCTCAAAGATAAGCTGCCAGCTGCCACACAGACTATCAAAGGGTGGCTCAAAGTCAAGAGCAAACAGCTGATTTTTTTATGGTTCTGGGGTTTTTGCAGAGGGTGACAGGAGGCCCTGGTCCCCACGCTGTTGGCTTCCTGTTTTATTTTTACACCCGCCTGAGCAGCTCCGCGTGCCTCTCACATGGGAGCTGCCTGTTTCTGGCGGGTTCTTCCCAAGCTGACCTAGAAAAGCAATTCTTTCCCCTTCTAAATTAATCAGGAACTCGGGCCGCGCTGGCTTTCGCTTGGGTTGAAGGATTGCAGGCGAGCGTCGCCCTCCTCGTGCCGTTTGCCTGAGTTCCCTCCTGTGGCGCGGAGGCGGCCGAGGCCACGGGTCTCTTTGTTGCTTCGGTGTTTCGACACGTCAACGAGGGGGATTTGGGGGCGTTCAAGGCATTTGACTTGTGCATGAGAGCGTTTTCAGCCTAAACTACAATGTCCGGACGCTTATTGCTCCCGGATAAAACCCGGGAGCTCGTTCCGAGCCTTGTGCCGGGAATCGCGCGCTCGTCGCAAGCTCTGGCCCCGGCCCAGGGCCACGGCGGGCGGACAAGGGCGCCGTGTGAGCCTCGACCTCCAGGGATTTTTCCAAGGGAAGCAGGGTGCAGCCTGCAGGATAAGGAACAGCCGCCAGAAAGTTTCCTGATCAGCTGCGAGCGCTTCCTGTTGTTTCAGGAGAGCCCTGTGTGCCTGCGCGCCCTGGGAGGCGGGAGCCTCTCGGGTTTGGAAGAGGCTTTTTTCTCCCTTTCTTCTGTTTTCAACCTCTTAAGGAAAAAAACTCATTCGTTTTGAGTCAAAACAGCTTGTGGAGGAGCTCGCAGGGCTCGCCCGGGCGCCGGCAGGAGGGCGAGCGCTGCGGGGTGGCAGCGGCTGAGGCCCGACGGGTAGTTTTCCATCCAGCCATCCCTGCCCCTCCACCTGAGCTGCTGGGTCCTTTCTGTTACGGCGAGGAACAGAACAGCGGGATCTTTATTTCTGAAGAACCAGTTTTATAAGGGTGGGGAGCAGGGGGGGAAGCAGGCTTATAAATAAAGCCATTTGAGAGCAGGAAAAACGAACACCATGGCTCTGGTGTGCCTGGAATTTGCGGTTGAGTAATCCTTTCCTGTTTCTTTTTTGGGTTGTTTTTCATCTTTCAGAACAGTGCCTGAAGCAGGTCCACCATGCCGTTAGTAACGAGGAACATTGAGCCAAGGCACCTGTGCCGTCAGACGTTGCCTAGCGTTCGGAGCGAGCTGGAATGCATGACCAACATCACCCTGGCAAATGTCATTCGACAGCTGGGCAGCCTGAGTGAGTACCATGGCGAGCCTGCGCGTTGCCCTCAGGAGTCGCTCGCGCTCTTTATTTAGCTCCCTTTCGACTCCCGCGTTCCTATTTCTCCCCCATCTGCCTTCCCTGGGTAATGCTAAAATGTTTTCCTAAAGAAATCTGATGCTAATTTCATAGCCCTGGTCCCCACCGCCTTCCCGGGGAGCAGGCAAATGGGAAGGGGGGGATGTGTGTGTGTGTGCGTGCGTGTGTGAGAGGCTGCAGCAAAACTGCAGATGGGAGGATGGAGCACAACTCGGGCTCGTAAAATGGGAGGCTCTCGGAGCAGCCGGTGTCTTGTGTCAGGGAAAGCGCCTGTAATTGCACGCGCTATTAAATGGAGCTCGGCTCTGTTGCCTCTACCGGGTGGCAGGAGTCTTAGTTTTTAATGAAAGGTAATTAAAGCGCGCTCGCAGGAGCCGGCCTGTTTGCCCGTGCTGTTTGTTGCCTCGCAAGACCCTCCCAAGCCCCCCGTTCGAGCAGGGCTTCGCCCTGGGGCGCCGGGGGCTTGGGCTGCTCCTTCCGGCAGCGGCCGCCGTGCCGAGCTCGGCTCCCCGGGGAGCTGCCCAGGAGCCTCGCAAGGGCCAGAGGGAAAGTGGGGGCCTACGTGCTGCAAGAAAAATAAAGAGTTAATTGTGGTCTCTCAGGAATGACTGCTGGCGCTGTCGAAATGCTCTGGATTCTGATTAGCCACCTTTGCCCTTGAAGCAAGACTAGCAAATACTCCGATAATCAGATTAATGCATGGTTTAGCTTCTCCCTGGTGTCCGCGAGCCTTCTGCTCGCTCTGCAGAGCAGGCCCCTGGTCTCCTGGTGGGGCCGGCGCGAGCTCCGGGGGAGCCTCGTCCCGGGCGGGCGCTGCCGGCAGGTATCGCCTTCTGCTCCGTCGCAGAAATGTCACTGCGCAGGCGAACGCAGCCGCCGCTCGCGTGCGGCTGACCCTCCCTGCCCGTTTCTTAGGTTTTTGTCTCTTAAGATGGTTGTGGAGCGCGAGCGCAATCCATCTTGTGAGGAGGAGGAGGAAGGTGTAAAGCAGCGCGCGGCCCTGTTGCGGAGGAGGCTGATGGCAGCGCGAAGGACGCGGGGCAGAGCCCTCAGGCCTCCTTTGTGCAGCGCGGATATTCAGGGCTGGAACCCCGACTGCAGCCTCCTTCCTTTCTCGGGAAGGTGCCGTGGGATTCCCGCTCCGGGGAAGCTGCTGCTTCCTGCCGCTCCCTGTGTCCCTGGGTAAGCGGGGAGGTGCTGAGCTTGGCTCTTACCGCTCCCTCCGGCTCTGCAGCGCTCCAAACCGAACAGCATTGAGACCGACTACTGCAGAACACTCCTCCCTAAACAACTGAGTCTCGTCCCCTGTTGTCCCCCACTTTTTTGCCACCGCTTTGGGAAAAAAATCCTCTCCTTCCTCGCACGTTGGATAGTGCAGGAATGCGAAGCAGGTTCAGTAGGCTGTGACAGCCCTGTCAAGTGAATAATCAGCCATGCCTGGTGCACCACAGTCTCTTTACAAAGATGCAAACATAAATCTTGTCAAACTTTCATATTCCAGGGAGTTTACCCTTCGTTACTATCACAGCTGGTAGCACTTTGTATAAGTCGGCTGTGCATTTGTGTGTGATTTTAGAGAATCCACAAGCTAAAGATGGAAAGACCTATTAAATCATGCCGTCTGTCTTCCTGCCAGTGCATGACAAAGATAATTTTGATTGTAAGCTGCACTTTTGCAGTCAAAGTAACTAAACCAGCAAACTAATCTCTGGCTTACCCCATCTGAAGGCGTGCATGAGACACGGAGCGACGTTGGAGATCCCAGGCGATAAGCCGGTCCTGGTGCCCTTGCCCAGGTAGGGGAGTGGGGCCTGTCCCTTCCTCCCGCTCCAGTGTCGAGGCCAGCGCGTGCAACGCTCTTCATGTGTGATTTTGTGCTTGCGACCTGCTGCTCAGCATTGCAAACCAGGGACTTTTTGGTCATTTCCCTTGTACTTGCAGCGATTCCTTGTGAATTCGGGGATGGTTTTCCTCTTGTTAAGAGGAAAGCCAAATTATGAGTTTTCCGTTCTGAGCTGTTCTGGGAAGGTGGCAGGTTATCCTCTAGCTCAGTCCTTCTCCCTCAGATAAAACAGGGCAGCTGCCGTCGAACAGAGCGTCCTCCACAAAGCCTGAATTCAACAGCAAATAAAACTGCAGAAATAAAACTCTTCTCGGGCGTTTCGGGGAGGCCGCTCGAGCTTGTGAGCCGGGCGGAGTGGAGGTTTTGTGCTGTCCAGGGGTGTGGAAGGAGGAGAGGTCGCTTGGAGTGACCCTGCAGCGTTTCATTCCGCCCCCGCTCCGCGCTGGCACCGCCACCGGGACGGGTGGAGGAGGTTGATTTTTAACCTGCCTTGTTCCCCAGCGCTTGGCGGTGCAAGGAGCGTGGCCGGGGAGCGGGAGTAGCTGATGTGGAGAGGGGAAGGGACAACTTCTGGCGCTGGTGCCGCTTCAGAGCAGGTGCAGGGACGTTGCTGTGACGTGGGCACACTTGCCTTAGTGCAGACCGGCCGCTTTTCCACAGCCACCGTTTCCAGAATGGCTCCCGCCTGGCTGTGCTGCAAGTTGGAGAGCATCTCTCGGTGTAACAGCCTCCCGAGCAGAGCGCTGCCCGTGCACAGTCCCAGCCGGCTGCCTCCTGCGGGCAGCCACGTTCTGCGGCCGCGAGTGGGTCCGGTCAGTGGGCACCGGGGAGCCCCTTGGCTGCCAGGGCCGGCTCTGGTTGGGATTAACCAAGAACAAAAAGGCAGCAGCCAGCGTAAGCTCTTGTTCCTCCTTCTAGTTCTCTCATGTCTGGGCTACCCGTGGCCACCTCTTGCTGTACGTGTGATAGAGAGGGCATCTTGCTAGTGCCCCTGATGGGAGCCGCCGGGCGCTCTCGTGGCACAGGCGCGCCGTGGTGTTGGTCATGGCAGCCCACCGGGCAGCGCAAGCTGCGACAGAGAGAATATCCTCGTCTGAGAAGTTCCAGTTTGGTTTTGATTTGGAATAAACGTGAGCGCATCAATTTTTCAGATGCTGCCACCTGAAGGAACAAAAGGGTCAGTGCTCGCGCGCGCCGGCACTCGGGCTGCAGGATCAAGGACGGGGGCTGCTCGGCAGTTACCGAGTCCTTTGAGCCTGTAAATACGAACCGGTTACCCTGGAGGCAGCGCTGCTGGAGAGCAGGAGCTGCTGAGATTCTCCAGAGCACCGAGGCTCTAACTGCATTTGCTTGTGTAATAACGAGCGCAGCAGAGCGCCCTGCGGAGCAGCCTGGGCTCGGAGCGCCCTACCCTCATCCACCCTTTTGGGCGACTTTAGGAACGACTTCAGAAGCACAGCCCGATTTCCTTAGAGCTTAAAGGGGCCGGGGAAAGGCTCGGGGTTTGGTGCCAGGGAGCGTTGCCTTAATCTGCGCCGTGGCCAACGTGAAAACACACATGGCTCTTTTTAGTGCTGCTCGGGGCTGGCTGATGCAACACAAAGCAGCAGTGGCGGGTTGGTTTTCACGGGGAAGGGCTTCAAGAAAGCAGGCTGGGGCCTTGAACACAGCCCGGTGCGGCTCGCCAGAGTAATGCGGACGCTTTGATATTGCAGGTAAATCTGCAGAGGACATATTTGGAGAGTTGTTTACTCAAGCCAACACCTTTGCCTCTCGGGTGAGCGTTCTAGTCGAGAGAGTTGACCGCCTGCAAGTCAAAGTCACTCAGCTGGATCCCAAAGAGGAAGAAGGTAATGGAGTGGAGCGCAGTCCTTGCAGACCAAGCATGCTAAAGATTCTCATCGAGCCGCTGTGCTCTGGGGCCCTAAAATGAGCCTGACACTCTCAGTGTTGGAATGTTTTCTCTGGGACTAAGAGGGACTTTTTTTCCCCAAAAAAAAGCACGGTGCTGCTTGTGTGCATGGCGTCTCTGGGCAAGCCTGGAGTTGCTTGTTAGCGAGTCTCCTGCGGAATCCGGCTCTCCGCCGCTGGAACAGCAACGCGCTTCGTGTCTCGGTCGCAGGGGTTCGAAACCACAGCAGCAGCTCTCGAGAGAGCCCTGTCTGTGCAGCAGCACATCCTGGCACGGCAACATCTGAGACTTGCTGGGTTTCCCGAGAGATCTGTGGGAAAAGGAGCCTGACCTTAAGAAGTGCTAGGCATGCCAAGAACTCCAACTGAAATCAGATGTTTGCTACTTGATCTTCAGTGTCATTGGCCTGGGTCAAGCTGTTCCTCACTTGCTTTCTCCTCTTTCTTACAGTCTCCCTGCAAGGCATTAACACCAGGAAGGCCTTCAAAAGCTCCACTACTCAGGACCAGAAGCTTTTTGACAGAGAGTCTCTCCCAGTGCCTGTTCTTGAAACCTATGGGTCCTGCGATACTCCTCCGCCTCTCAACATCCTCTCCCCTTACAGGTAACGCCACAGGGTCCCCTTAGCCGCTTGGCCCTTGCAAAGGAGTCTCTCTTGCTCCCAGCAGCTAGCAGAGGAAGTTGTCACCCGTCCACGAAGCAGCGTCTTGGACTGTTTTATTGAAATAGCAGTTTCCAGTGGGGAAATTGCAGTCCTAAAGTGAGATCCAGCAGGAAATCTCCGTCCTCGGGATTATGTGAAATGCGGCTTTTGGGGCTGCAGGAATGTGAGCAGCTAGAAGATTACATGTTTGGTTACCTGCCGTCACTTTTGTGACTGCCTTGGGGCAAGGCTTGGCTGGCACTGCATAAACATGCTAGGTGTTGTGCAGATGATGCATTTTTCTTGTGCTTCTCCCTCGCCCTGTGGCTCCTTTCCAGAAAGCCACAGTGCCGCCTGCAGAGCATACATCTGTGTGTGGCTCTGCCCTGGGTGGGTGCAGCTGGCTCCTGTGCATCTCGGGGTGCTCCCAGGGCCTTCCGAGCCATCTGATGTGACCTGCACTGTGGCCATCTCCCCGTTTCTCCTTAGCAGCCCCGCAGTGCCACTGCATCTGGTAGATAGGAAGTAAAGGGGGTCAGAATACCGAGATTTCTTTAGCCCACATCCATAAATATCTTTTTGAACAGGTAAAAAGTAATTACAGATAGCTGGAGGCAGCTGTCTTCTGCCAGACGCGGCTGCACTGCAAAGCAGGAGTGTGTGTTTGTGCTCGGGAGCTTCAAGGACGCTGCTGCTCTGATTTAGGGGTTCCTAGGCTGCAGAAGGGTTTTTTGCACACCAAAGAAGTGAACACATGTGGGAGCTGGAGCGAGAGACCTGCTGTGCGCCCGGTGGCTGCGCAGGGCCCTTGAGTCCTTCAGGTGCTGAAATCCAGAGTATTGGAGAACGTGCAGGGGCTGAAGGCGGCGGGAAGCGGGAGAGCCGGACAAGTGGCCGGCTCTGGGGACGCTCGTGCTCCGCCGCCTGCTCTCAAACAGCAGGGCCCTTTTGCCTCCTACAGAGGCGAGAGCAGCGTGTTTGACCCTCTCGTTGCAGACCTTTAAACTGTCGCCTGGGATTGTGCCTTATGTTTTCGTTGGATTTCAAACAAATGAATGACTTGGTCCTTGTTTGTGTGTCTGTTTTTTTCCTTTTTGTTTTCCCCCCCCACTCCATGTTCTAGGGATGATGGCAAAGAAGCGCTTAAATTCTACACAGATCCTTCATATTTCTTTGACCTTTGGAAAGAGAAAATGCTTCAGGTCACCAAGGATATCATGAAAGAGAAGCGGAAACATAGGGTGAGGATATGGGAGATCTCTGCCATCCGAGGCAGGTCGGGAGAGAGGGAGATGGGAAGTGTTAACAAATCTTGGAGAGTCAGAAGTTCCAACCCAAAATTCAGCCTTCAATCTCTTAAACTCTTTAGGGATTGGGGTTTTTTTTTTCCTTTTTTATCCTCACCTTTGCTAATTTAAAAGAGGAAGAGGAAGCGGGAGCCCTTAAATTCTCTTCTTCTAAATGTCCCCTCCTTGATATGGTTACAGGGGCTTAATTTGTAGTCTTCAGACATAGTGGTGATGCTGCCATCAGGTTAGAAAGTTGTACAGAGGCTTTTCTGCATTTCTGGCATTGCACAGGCCTCCATTGGGTGTTGAAACAGTGCAAAAACCCCCACCCAAGTGCCTCAGTGTGTCCAGTCCTACAATAAATTCTGTGACAGAAGAGTAAAGAAGGGAGAATGTCCCTTCAGGACGGTAAAAACAGGTCCTAATGTTAAAACAGAGCCAAGGAGGAGTCTTGACCAAAGCACCTAAGCTGAAGACAGCAGGTGGAGTCCCTGGACTGGTTGCCTGGGGATTTGGAGCCATGGTCACCAACATTGAAAAGTGCATCATAAAAGAATTGGTTTCAACATATATTACTTAGCTTTCAGACAACTGAAGTGTTAAATATCAGAGCTGATAGTGATTGTTTTTTCCCGATCAGAACAACAAATGAGATGTAGAGCCTGTCAAAAACACAAAGCGAGAGCTCGCTAAAGCCCAGCTCTTTGTGGGCAGGTGTCTGCGCTGTACACCCGAAGCAAAGCACTTAACGTGAGCCAGGTGCTGGGGTGGATTTGGCAGTCTTGACAGAGACGAGAAGCTGAATTGATGAGGGAACTTGACCTTCCACTCTGCCCTCAAGGTGATCGTGCCAGAGGGCCGTGATGTCTGGGCTGCACAGGGGAAATCTGACACTGCCTGCTTTTTTTGGTGCTATCTGTGCTTTGTACGGGGGTGTCTCCGGAGCTGTCAGCAACTGGGAAAGTGAATTTCAAAAAAAAGAAAAAAAAAAATCCCATCCCGCTTTGAGGATAGATCTTCTCAAACCTGCTACGGGTCTGCCCTTTCCATTTCCAGGGAGTTTAAAGCAAGGCTTTGGTTTAATTCTTCCTCCTTTTCCTTGCCTCCAATAGAAAGAGAAAAAGGAGAATCCGAACCGAGGCAACGTGAACCCACGGAAAATCAAAACCCGGAAAGAAGAGTGGGAGAAGCTGAAAATGGGGCAAGAATTTGTGGAGTCAAAGGACAAGCACGGGCCCGTCGGGTAAGCAAGCGCAGGGCTCTGCGCGGCGCCGCTGGTGATTGTCATGCAGTTCACCCTGCTCTGCAGCTCCTCCGGATCTGCTGCACCGCGCCGATCGATATTGCCACTAATCAGATTCTCCCAAGTAAATCTGTCTGGTGATTTAGAATTTGCTAAATAAATCAGGGAGCGGCGCCGTTTAAGCAGGGTGGTGGGAGCATCACGGGCTGTCTCGTGGGCACAGAGGTGCCCAGGGCTCCGGCTCCCCGCGCCATGCCCTGCTCCTCACACCTCCCCGCCAGGCCGGTGCCCAGGGCCACGCACGTCGCAAATGGCTCTTCACACCCCAAAGTTGAAGCGGGGGCAGCCTCCAGCCCGGTATTTCAAGCTCCTGATCTCTCTCCGGCGCTTCTGGCTTGGGAATTCATTTAACTTTTGACACGGGCTGGGCTGCGAGCGCGCTCGGTGCCCACAATGCACTTCTTGCTTGCTCGCTCCTTGCTGCTTCCTTTCATATAAGGGAAAAAAAAATCTCTCTTTAAATCACACTCCCCTGCTAAAAATAAAACTTGCTTTTAGTTTAATAGGAGAACGGGTTTGGTTTCTAGCAGCGGAATCGAGCAGCACAACAGCACCATTTTCTTGCTCCTCTGTTTTCTAGTGTAAATGTATCCATGCATTTGAATTCGTTTGAGGTCTCGAGCGCCCAAGACTTCTTTTTTTTTTTTTCCCCTCTTTTTTCACCTCTCTATGGAGTGAACTCATTGAAACTTGAACGTGGTCTTTTTCCTCATCACTGCTTCTGCTTTGGATACTTAGTTTTAAGGGCATTACCATTTCTTGGGTGCTTTTTGATATTCTGTTTTCAATCTTATTATTTGGCATCTTTTAGCTCTTTTTTGCCACTCAGTGTAACTAGTAGCCCCTTGAGCCCGCACTGGGCAAGCATGTCTCTGCAATCCCTATTTACTCGTGTTATTCTGAAAATCAAGCAAGTGATAGCGATTTAAAAAAAGAGTATTTGGGCAGTTTCTAGCCAAAGAATTACACCAAAGACTGTGCGTGATTCTTCGTAGAGGATGCTTTGGCAAACAGATGTTTTGTAAAATGTTGCTTTAACATTGCCGCTGCTTTCTGTGTCCTGTTGACGTGGCTAAGGTGGCACCATAGGGCAGGAAGAAGTCATTCCTACTGGGAAGAGCTTCGTTTCTAAATGCTGCAGGTGGATCCTTTGGCCTGGCTAAGGTGGCTGCTTTGTGGTCAAATGGTTGCTTGTGTTGCCTTTAGCCCCTCCAGAAGGCAAAGCCGTGGCAAACATGGGGCAGATGAGCTTTCGGGGCCTCCACGGACTCTTTAAATACAGTGCTCGTGTGTTTTGCCTTCAGGTACCCCTCCAACATGGTGTATCAGAACGGCAGCATCGGCTCAAACGAAAGCATGGACGTGAGCTGCTACCCGCCACCGCCGCAGACCGACTCTCCGGTGCCACCACCGCCCCCGTTCCCAGATGACAGCCTGCCGCCACCCCCGCTGGAATTTAGGTAAGCCTACGGGATCCCTTCTGTCACCAGGGAGTAGTAGGTGGTGTAAAAGGATGACAGGAGACAGGCTGAGAGGCTTCAGCATAGCTTCCTAATGGGTGCTGCATAGGAGCCCTGTGGGGTACCAGGTGCTTCTGCCTGGAGGGCAAGCGCAGCTGCAGGGATGGAGTCCCAGCCAGAACAGCCCTCCGTAAATCCCAGTCACCCTTGTCCCCTTGTAGGAGGGAGAATTGGCCTGGGCAAGAAGTGGAGCAGATTTGCTTTGCTTTCTGACAGAGCAGAGTCCTGTTTAATGGTGTGGCTCCAAGCGCAGACATGTTCCTGATAGAGCTCTGCAAAGAACAGCTTCTTCTGCTCGTTTCTTTTGTGGTTGCCGTTTGCCCCAGGATTGCAGCAAACATGGATGCTGAAGCTGGAGTTTGAGTTGAAAGGACTCAAGCCTACAAGTGGTTTCTTGGGGACTTCAGTGCAATTTCAGAGCAGCTGCTCCACGCGGGATGAAATGGTGACTTGTAGCCAACTGTAGAGATAGGGACTGCGGTCCAGCGCTGGCGCCCAACACAAAGGTCAAAACAAGAGAGCAGCTTTGTGTTTTTCTGAGGGAACGAGTTAAAAAAAGGCAGTAAAACAGAGTAAAGAGGAACAAGAGGAAGCACGTCTGATAGACAGGTCTGCATTAGCTTGTCTCCATCTTATCCAAAGGCAGCAGTGCTGCAGAAAAGGCTCTTCTGATGTGTCAGAGAGCCCGAGCTCTCCACTTTGCAGCGTGTTCCTCTAGGGCAGAGCAGAGATGAGCTTTCAGATGAGGCTTACCCTGCCTTCTGCAGTTGCTTAGATCTCTGCCTAGCCACAGAGATCTCCTTTCTCGGGTTTTGTTTTGGTGGTTTGTTTTTAAAGAACCCAGGGAGCTAGGTTTGATCTCCAGTAGTTTGCCTTGGATCAGCACTGTGCACTGTTAAAATTCGTGACGTTTTTGTGGCAAATGTACCTTACCTGGCCATTTTAGAGTGCAAGGAGATGTCAATTTAGGGCTTCCTTTACGTGGCTGTAGGGTATAGCTGTATTTTCTGGGCAGTGGTGTTTTCTGGTATGAAACGCTTCCCATAAATGGGAGACTCAGTCGCTCAAGGATCGGTGTTTTCCTTCAGCACGCCTTGGCTCCCTGTGCCTTCCTCCCCGATCCACACCGCGAGCTCCGGTTCAAAGCCATGGAACCCGGAGCCCAGCGAGGAGATCGGTTCCTAGCAGATGCTGGGAACACACGTTCCCCTGGCAGAACCACTGGTCCCCGTGCGGTTCCCGGTAGACGTCTCCGCTCGGCGTGTCGAGGCCTGGCCTGGCCGGGAGGCCGCTCGCGCGGGCGGCCGGGCCTCTCCGGGAGGGGTGACGCGGCCTCGTCCCGCCAGCCTGGGAGGTTCGGCAGAGAATAGCGGGGGTTTTGCCCTGCTTTCTGCTTTCCTTTGTTCTGCTGCTGTTGGCCAAAAGCAACAACATGGGAGGACTAAAACCAAGGAGTAGGGGTTTCAGGAAGAAGGCAGTTAAAGCTGGAAGCTGTTTTTTGTCTGGACTGCAGCAAACACATATGATCTGCATTAAAACTGTGATTGTATCGATGGAAATGCTCTCACAGCTAACAGCCCTGTTTCTCTCTCTCTTCCCCCTGCCCCACCACAGCTATCCTGCAGACAACCAGAGAGGTTCTGGCTCAGGAGGCACCAAAAGATCCAGCCTGGTTAGCCCGAGCCACCCGCCGCCGGCTCCTCCCGTGGGGATGGGGACCCCCTTGGGGGCCAGGCCGGGCTTCGCTCCTCCTCCG